AGTTTTATTACAGAGGAAAACACCATGTCAAAGTGTTTTTGTGAACAACATTCTTCTTTAACTGAAGGAAAGTCGTTGAAAATAATAAAAATTGCGCATTAGAAAATAAAAGTGGGAACAATAAAATTTATGAACAAGGAACATCGCAATGCGATGCAACCAGGTTTTCAGCAAAATATTTCACAGAAGCTTTGTAATGAAGGGACATTTGTTTTTAATTGAACTTTTAGGAGGAATTATGGCTTTTTTAGTATTCCTCAAACAAAAATGATTGAGAAATTTTATGTTGTCTATTCGCCTTTTTTCCCCAAATGTTTTAGAAAGGTAAACAGTAATTTATTTTTGCTTAATTTTTGCATTTTTGCGTCTCTTGTCATTTTCTTTTGTCAACAATATTGGCGTGTGGTGTTTTGTGCGATATCAAGAAAAGTATGGTCACAATTTAAAAAAAAAACTTGAATGATGTCTTGGAAGAAACATGGGAATTTAGTGAGCGCCAGGGCACTTGATGACAAAGCTTCTGTGAAAGTTTGGTCAAAATCCATTGAGAAATGTAGGAGAAGTTGCGCACTGTAGAAATTGTTCACTATAATATTCTGTATAAGGAAAAAATATACAAAGGGCCATAATTCGGTCAAATATTATCCAAACACAAAACCCCGACAATATGTGCCAGGCACTTGATAACAAAGCTTCTAAGAAAGTTTGGTCAAAATCCGTTGAGAAATGTAAGAGGAGTTGAGCACAGAAGAAATTGTTCTCTATATATTCTGTATAAGGAAAATATATACAAAGGGCCATAATTCGGTCAAATATTATCCAATCACAAAACCCCGACAATATGTGCCAGGCACTTGATAACAAAGCTTCTAAGAAAGTTTGGTCAAAATCCGTTGAGAAATGTAGGAGGAGTTGCGCACAGAAGAAATGTTCACTATATATTCTATATAAGGAAAAAAAAACAAAGGGCCATAATTAGGTCAAATATATACCAATTGCAAAACCCTGGCAATATGTGTCAGGGCACTTGATGACAAAGCTTCTGAGAAAGTTTGGTCAAAATCCGTTGTGAAATGTAGGAGGAGTTGCGCACAGAAGAAATTGTTCACAATATATTCTATATAAGGAAAAAAACAAAGGGCCATAATTAGGTCAAATATATACCAATTGCAAAACCCTGGCAATATGTGTCAGGGCACTTGATGACAAAGCTTCTGAGAAAGTTTGGTCAAAATCTGTTGTGAAATGTAGGAGGAGTTGCGCACAGAAGAAATTGTTCACTATATATTCTATATAAGGAAAAAAAACAAAGGGCCATAATTAGGTCAAATATATACCAATAGCAAAACCCTGGAAATATGTGTCATGGCACTTGATGACAAAGCTTCTGAGAAAGTTTGGTCAAAATCCGATGAGAAATGTAGGAGGAGTTGCGCACAGAAGAAATTGTTCACTATATATTTTATATAAGGAAAAAAAACAAAGGGCCATAATTAGGTCAAATATTATCCAATCCCAAAACCCCGACAATATGCGCCAGGGCACTTGATGACAAAGCTTCTGTGAAAGTTTGGTCAAAATCCGTTGAGAAATGTAGGAGGAGTTGCGCACAGAAGAAATTGTTCTCTATATATTCTGTATAAGGAAAAAATATACAAAGGGCCATAATTAGGTAAAATATTATCCAATCACAAAACCCCAACAATATGTGCCAGGCACTTGATAACAAAGCTTCTAAGAAAGTTTGGTCAAAATCCGTTGAGAAATGTAGGAGGAGTTGCGCACAGAAGAAATTGTTCACTATATATTCTATATAAGGAAAAAAAACAAAAGGCCATAATTAGGTCAAATATATACCAATTGCAAAACCCTGGCAATATGTGTCAGGGCACTTGATGACAAAGCTTCTGAGAAAGTTTGGTCAAAATCTGTTGAGAAATGTAGGAGGAGTTGCACACAGAAGAAATTGTTCACTATATATTCTATATAAGGAAAAAAAACAAAGGGCCATAATTAGGTCAAATATTATCCAATAGCAAAACCCTGGAAATATGTGTCATGGCACTTGATGACAAAGCTTCTGAGAAAGTTTGGTCAAAATCCGATGAGAAATGTAGAAGGAGTTGCGCACAGAAGAAATTGTTCACTATATATTTTATATAAGGAAAAAAAACAAAGGGCCATAATTAGGTCAAATATTATCTAATCGCAAAACCCCGACAATATGCGCCAGGGCACTTGATGACAAAGCTTCTGTGAAAGTTTGGTCAAAATCCGTTGAGAAATGTAGGAGGAGTTGCGCACAGAAGAAATTGTTTACGCCCGCCCGCCGCCCATCCGCCCGCCCGCCGACATACCTCAATCTAATAACCAGTTTTTTCCTTCGGAAAACCTGGTTAAAAACCATTGCATTATCCCAGAAAAGGCAGCAGCTGTGTGTGATGTTTGTTTGAATTATGTACAGGATACCTTAATGATTAGAACCAAGTCATAAAAAATTAAAGGCAGAAAATGATTGTAAAACATTTTTAGAAAATTTGAAAAATGATAAATTTGAAGAAAATGAATTAGTAGAAATTGTTGCAGCCATTGGTGAAAAAATTTCTTCAAATATATATGAAGATTCAATGGTTGTTTCGTCATCGTACAAGAGTATAAATTTTGATGATGATTTAAAAGTAAAAAAATATATAAAAAAACAGAAATCGTATACTCACATAGATCTTTCCTATTACCTGTTGCAAATATAAAATCTGTAGACGAAAATGAGAAAAAAATAAAAGTATTGCTAGCAGCATTGACTGTTTATTGAAAGCCAGGAATCTTCCAACTATAACACCAATAATACCATTTTATAAAAATCTTATTAGCTATTATATCACTGGCAGCAAAATTATAACTAAATTGAATAGCGTACATTCCCCAGCAGGTAGCTATTCATGTCTAACTGAATGGCTGAAGAATGTCTCCGACACGTCCCTCAGTTACTCCGAGTCCACTGACACGTTTACTTATTTTGACAATAACCAAGTTGTGGCCAGAAATTGGCGGGTTAATCATAATTATAAATCAAAGGCAAGTGTTGTTACCTACGGTTGTTAATATTATACCAGCAAAGAAAACAAATCTTCAAAAACAACAAGAAATTTCACCGTCAAAATGGTATTACAACTGTAATAATGTTGACACATTTTCAAAAATCAAATCAATGTTGCATGACAATGAATCGGTCTTCCAAAATGTAAGGAATAAATTTATTGAAAAACGACTGGCCAAAGTTGTCAACGACATGGGAGCACACAATACTAGTATGACACGTGATTACATTGATGAAAAAATTGAAGGTAATTTCTGACATAATTTGTATTCATTATCCCAAAATATTTAAAAAAAAATATACATTTTAAACACATTATTTAGATTATATTAGATTTTGTTTCGTTGCATAAGTAATAATAAAGCAAATAAATCTAATTACACGTACAAAATTACATCATGAACGCATTTTGATTTCGTCATGAATTCAGACAAACACAATGTCTATTTAAATGTCATGATGCAATAGTTAATTTGTCTTTAATTTCTCAAATTTAATTACAATTATATTTATATTCAGCTGGAGTTAATCCAGTCGTTGAACAGGACATGTTTGATCATTATAATTGGATTCCAAGCATGCACCATAAAGAGTCCCCGAAAGTTGTTGTAGGAGAGCCTATAATGGTCAATCCATGCTCTTATGCTTCTGTGACAAAAGTTCTACAGGTACACATTCTCTTAAAATTAGTGTAAATAAATTAATATATAAAATGTGAAAAACGATAAACTATTATAAGAATCATTTAAAACAACAAACAAGTATTAACACTTACTGAAACTAAAATCATTCAATTATTATTGATGCTTTACAAATATATCATTTCAGAATCTGCAGAAAGTTCAGAGAATGAATATGAATAATCATCAATATACACGTGTTCATATGTACTTACCGACATCTCTAGTCTTCACTGCATACAAACTCAATATGACCTCAAACCGAAAAACTCGTGCAAAAAACGCAAGTGGTATATTTTATAAACATATATATAGATATTATTATTTTTAATTCATTTTACATGTATAAAAATAATTAAGATGTATCTAAAATATGCACACACCCTATATCAATTAATGAAAAACAATAGATTAAAGTGTTTCGTGCATGACGGATTTTAATCAATCTTTCCAAGATGGCGTTGATGATGAAGCTGCGTTGAATTGGCGAAGAATTTTGTACAGTTTTGGAGTTAACATAACAGTTTTGGGTATATGTTGATCCGGTTTTCAAAATTCGGTATTTTTTACACCAAATTGCGCAATAAGATCAAGCGAGTACAGCATATTTTAATGTATCAGATGTGTTATTGTAGAAACTGGATCACATCGAGACAAGGGAGAGTACTCGATTTTATACGCTTCCATAAATTTCCGACACATTTTATCATTTTCATTCATTGGATTTTAGCTCAATCAGGCTAAATTACCCCGATTGAGCTAATTTAGCCCGATTGGGAGATGTGCCCAGCCTGTTTAAGTGGGAACAATAATGTTATTGTCAAAGACAAGTAGCATTCTGCTGATTTTGGCGAGATCAACCCCTTGTCCATATATTATGTATAAACTATATTAATTTTCTCTAGAATTACTTTTTAACACTATCAAAACTATGTTCTGGGTTCCTTTTCAAATACCCATATAATTTATGAAAGGAAAATATTTTAAAGCAGCATATGAAGTTTTAGAAGACAAGGCAGCAGCTCGAGACAAAAATTTTGATTTTTTTTAAAAGAAGCATGGATTCGGTAAGATGAATGCAAATCAATTCGGCTTTTTATGCATTATTAGGAATTATTATGTATATTTCAACCCTATTCGGCGATTGTGAAATAAATAATCAGACTGTCGCGAAATGTAATGATAAATTTTAAAATGTTCGTTTCAGATAATTAAAACAACACCTTGTGCTTCAGTGGCTGTTTTCTTAACCCCGAGAACATCATATAAATTGTCTGTAGCAAAATATTCCTTGCATTCTTCGATTAAACTAGGCATCTTTAAAAATCAAAATTTGTTAGCGCGCGTTAGCCTGTGATAAGTGTTATATACACGTCGTGTTAATTATATAAAATTTGGTTATAAGCCACTAAAAACTTTCTGAAATTTTTGAAGTCGTTTATTATAATGCAACTTATGTTCCTATTTGTATTTACTTCCTAGAGAAATCTAATTGATCAATGTTATGAAAAAAGAATAGAATAGAATAGAATAGAAAGGAACGGAACAGAATAGAATAGAATAACTTTTATTCCCAATCAAGGGTCAAGTTAAATGAAAATAATAATGAGATCAAAGATCAAATAAAGACGTTAAAAACTAAAACTTGATTTTATTTTATAGTAACAACAATGAACTAAATAAAAAACAAAATAAATGACAAAGTTTCGCTAACTAGACTTATCTTAACTATTAAACATCATTATTACAAATATACATGTATACAGCTGTATATGATTTAATAATGACATTTTGTTTTTAAAATTCTTTGAATTACATTCAAATTACACAAAAGTTATACCTGTACTGTACAACACACATGTCCCTCAACAACACAAGTACTATGTTCAATTAATTTATGTTTTCGCAGTATTATTTCTGAGTTTATAACAGGTAAAAATAAAATCTGCAAATTGTTTTATGATTATTTCATTTTCATTGCTCATTAACCAAATTAATTTTCTTATTTCAGACAGCATTTCAAAGTTTCTTATCTTTCATTTCATTATATAACATGCTGCGTTGACAAGTAAAAGCATTGCAAGCAGTAACAAAATGTAGCTCATCTTCATGTGAGAAGATGGATCAGAATAGATAGGTCTTATATAATTAGATTCCATTATCAAATGTTGGCTGTTAACTATCAAAATTTAGGATTAGAATTTTAGTGGTTGCAAATCTTAAATCCACACATTTCTAGTTGCATTACAGTTTCTGAGTTTGAATATTTAATTCGTGATATTCACTTAAAGATGGCAAACATGTTTTTTTTTCAAACATAACTAAATTTATTTGCACTACGAAACGTAGTTTTTTTTTTAACTTTCCCATAATGTACGTAATGTTACTTGTGAATGAAATAAACAATGAAACGACTTTTCAGGTGGACCTATAGTAAAATAATACTTTCTGTGCATAGATTTCTAAAATTATTCCAATTTACTAGTATGTTTACTGGGATTTACGTTACAAACGTAACAATAATTGGTAGTTTCCTCGGGCGCGATTCGTTGTATTTCATTCTCTATAAATTTAGAGAAAAATGTGTTAACAAGTGGCAAAAAAGCTCAGTCGATAGAGCCGCAAAACGGTATTCAAAGGGTCCCGGGTTCAAGTTACGGTCAGGCTGCACAGTTTTCTCACCCTGTCACATTTGGCGCCCAACGTGGGACCGTAACTGCACATATAGCTTAATGTCGAACAATTCTAGCAGTGTCGGTAAGTTTGTTTATTTATCTAAGAAACTGTACTACGTGTTTAACAGTATACAGTCGTAAATAATATAAAATTATAACACTTAGTTTCAGTTCAAAATGGAAAATTAGCATGTTGCCCAATATAGCAAAGTTGGAATATGAGCCAGATTCAGTAGGTATGAGCGTGTCCGTCAACGGCAGCGGCAAATACATGTTGCCATTCACGCCCCTTAGCAGCGACTTTAACAGAACTTATTTGAACTAACATATAAAAAGATGATTAAAACTAGTTGAGTACAATACTAGATTCAATTGGACGTGTATACAGCTGCCAAACATGTATTGGACGAAAAGCTAGACGTGTCTTATATAGGTTTTTGAAGCTGTACGAGATGTATAATGACATCTTTTTCCACACCACTATTTTTTTTACTGTTTCTTCGAGCAAAACAAGGATTTAACATGATTTTTCAAGATTCTTTACATTTTGCACAAAAAAATTTAAAACGAGACCAGATGGAGTACAATATTTATTCTATATGGAATTTTTGGACTGTGCAATTCAATAAAGGGATGCTGTGTTTATTATAAACAGAAAAAAACATGTTCCAGCTCTCGTTGCACTTTTACAGTTGTTAACGTTCCTATTTAACAAATGTTACAACTGATTGGGGAGGAAGATTATTGTACTGATAATGTTTGGCATCTATGTCCAAAGAAAAACTGGCTGACTTGCTCGTGTTTGGATTTTGAACCACTATTACGGTACTGCCATCGGGATTATGGAATGCTGCACATTGAAGATCGTCCCAGTTGAAGTAATTAGCTTCTAGTCGGACGGCACCTGGCTTAACAAACTTGCTCATATGTCCCATAGCATAGTACTCGACATTTTTCGTATAAGAATGTTTTCCTGTAAGTACGGTTATAACACCACGACAGTCATTACAACCTCCCACGTTTTTCTGAAATATAAAAATAGGAATAAACACTCCATACACACTCTTTTTTTTATCTAAATTGACATAAAAACACTACAATGTGACCGATGTATGTTAAACATACATACATGTTATATTTAAAGGCACATTATGCCTCAGAAACTAATTAAGAAAGATCAAACATAAGTTCTATAACATTTACATACTGGTTTTTAGTGTATGATAGATGCTTATCATCCAAAAAAAGTAGCGCTGAATGGGAAATTGAATTGTCATAAAAGCAGCAAAATGTAAACAAAAGTAGTATTTTTT